GACCCAGGGATGCTGTCAGCTGCCATGTTCAGTCTTATTTTGTATATCCCATATATTAGGGTTCTTCTTCAGTCGAATAGTGCATATTGTGTATATCCCATGTACTAGGGCTTTCACCATTTCCCTTGTGAGATTATCCCACATCATGATATATCTCCCACTTAAAAGTTATTTCTAATATTTGGTCTAAATTTTCCTTTTCTTTATTTCATCCTTTACTTTTGGATTCATTCTACCGAATCATGTGAAATAATTTGTCGCCTTTCTTAGCTTGCACATCCAGCCAAATGGTACTGAAGGTCCACAGCCCCCTCTGCGCTGCTGCTTAGCTATACACATTTAGGCTCCACGATCTTTTTTTTTTTGTTTCCTCCCATAAATCAGACCTTTCAGTTCCAGATCTTTTTTCTTGCTCTTCACTGATCTTATTGCAGAATAAAAACCAATCGATCAATCAATATGGGGTTTACCAGCTTAAAAATAATAAAATATTACTTAATTTTTTAACACCCACCATTTAAAAAGCATGTTCAGAAACCCAAAACAAAACAAAACCCACATAAGAGAAGGTGGAGCACTGATGCAGAAATCTATCCACATCCCTATTAAGCCATGAAAAACATGTTAAAAAGGAACAATCTATTAGACTGGGAAACCTGCTCAGAATACATTCTTGTTTGCAATGAAAAAGGTTCCCTATAGCAGAAAAAGCTAGGTAGTTTCTCTCCTATTTTGTTTTAGAAATGTGATAAAAATCAGATTGCATGCTGCACTGCACTGCACAGAACAGAAAGGATGTGATTTGTAGTGGTACGCAAGACTCACAATTCTGACTGATCTCAGTGGGAGCTGTGGATGTGTAGTGCCCTCAGAAACATCAGTCCAGCCCATTCCTTGTATTTTACTTTTAGTTATAGCTGCATTTGAATCTACTTCCTAACATTTTGTGGAGGGGCAGGAACAGGGTTCAGAATTCAAACCCCAATCCAGATCTGACTTCTAAGATTTGGGCCCATTTCTGTTTTTAGGAGAGAATTGTGAAATATTAAGAGATATTTTACATTTGCAAATAGAGTGTAGAATAGTTAGTGAAGTTTATAGTAATTTGCTTGCCGAACTTTTTTAATATCATGTGCATGTATACAAACACACACAGAGGCATATACAAAACATTTATAGATTTCATCATTTTTAAGGTGGGAAGGGACCTTAGATTACTCAGTCTGACCTTAGGAATTAGCAATAATAAATAAGAAGAATTGCACAGATTTTTAATAAGATACAAGTATTCTAAAATTTCAATGAACTTGTGCTTTAACAAGAAATCTGTTAAAAGACAGACTACAGATGACCCACATTTGGCTACTTCCTACCTAGTGATGAGTCAACTTCAAAGGGGTTCAATTTGGGGGGGGGGGGGGAATACCAAAAATTCAGATGCTTCTCTGAAGCCTACACAAACGTCTCCAAACAAACTTATCTCAGCAACTATAATCAGACTGTATAAATACCATAAGATAAAGATGCAAAAGCAGGCTGAAAATCTCAGAGAACATGATATCTTGTGCGATTTCTGGCACTGCAGCTTCTGGCTGGAAATAGCACACGAAAATGCTCATTCTTGGGACTTAGTTTCTTCATGCGCCAAACCCAGACTCTCATACACATACTCTCTCATACATTTTCCAAACATTAAGGATCTTGAAGGCTAATTCACATTTAAAGCTGGCTGGAAAACCTGTTTTTTTAAATGAAAAATTCTGGAGTATCAAAATTTGTTTCTATTTTTCATTGGTATAAAAACAATACCTTTCATAAAGTCTCACAGCAAAACAAAAACAAACTCCTGGGAGAAACAACTAGAGTCTAGATTAGCCAGTGGCCTGGTACTTAGGCCACTCATGTGGGACAAAGGAGAACTCATTTTCAATTCCCTGCTCTGAATCAGGAAGAGCTCCAAGCTACTCAGCTTTAAGTCAAGCTCTCTTACTTCCCTCCCGTTGGAGCTGTTCCATTTTGTATAAAATGGTAAACATTCATTGGGCCAGAGAGGAGACTGAGTCTACAGCTGGGTGGTTAGTTTGTGGGAGACTTAGGCAAGTATCCCATCTACTACTCTATTAGCTGTTCTAGGACGGGCCTCTTGCTTTCATTGGAATCAACAATTCCATTCTGGACAGTTGAAACTGGTACTTTTCCATGTGACATTGTAGTTTAGATGCCAAAAAAAGTTTTGTTGATGAATTCCCAACCAAGTCTACTCACAGTTAACACCAGGAATAGGAGAATGTTGGAATGGGACCATATAGTTGCTTGCTTATCTCCAGTTGAAACAATGGGGAAATGAGAGACCTTGTAAGATGACTAGTTTGCTACTTAACACCACTACTATTCTCTCTCAACAAATATTGTGTTTTTGTTCTTTCAATATTTGGAAATATCACCCTCTCAAAATAACCTTTCTATGAAAAACCCCATTTGGGGACACTATGATGTTTGTTGTACATGGAGATGCTGTCCCACTAGAGATGTGACAGTTGTGTGGTCCCTGAAGATTCTTTAAAAGGGTATTTACATATGTCTGTACTTACTGAAGACTCAGGGCATGCATGTTGGAATTCAAGAAGAGTGAAACAAAAAGAGTGAAAAGAAAAAAGGAAAGGAGAAAACTTGTGAGTATGTATTTGAAAGACTTTCTTCCTTTGAGAGTGCATCATTCGTGTGACTTAGCCACTGTAAACGTCCATAGAAAGGATACTCAACACCCTGAAAATGCCAGGGAAACCCCCAAAACATCCTATTACTGCAGAATGTCAACAACTGAAAATTTGAGTTCACTTTTTTAAGGTTTTTTCTATTAAGAAGAGACTACTGAAAGGCAGCAGTGTCAGTACCTCTAAAGCAGGCAGTTGGGACAGAGAAAATATTCTCTTTCCCATGCTGAAGCTATAAATCCTAGAATGCAGTTCTGATTTACTTGTATATAGGGTTGCCTGTGGTTAACTACAAAAGCAACTCAATTGGCTCTTTTTAAAGGAGCTGATCCTGTGTCCACTTAAGATAATCACAAAGCTGCCATTAACTTCACTGATGCAGGATCAAGCCCCAAATGTCTGCAGTCTACAACATTAGACAAACATTCTACCTGGTTAATCAAAAGTAAAACAATTACTTTACTTATTTAAAAAAAACAACAAAGAGCGTTTTTCTAAGGTTCCCAGAATGGTTAAAAAAATGACTCGATGGATCTTTTTAAATGTAAAAATGAATTCCCAGTATATAGTTATTTAAAAAAATAAAATAAAATAAATCTGAAAAACCATAAGTAACACAGATTCTCTTTCTTACATGTCCTCCCCATAAAAAATGCTGTGAAACAGTTCAGATCCCTCACCTTGGGCCTGAGAATCAGATGAATATTTCATTTTGTTTATCATGCAAATTATAGAGTTGATTATTATATAAATATTATTTCATTTGACTCAATGACCTCAAATGGAAAAACAGCTAAATTTAGAATTCATTTAATTTTACATGCTGTAGAGTTTCAAGTAATAAACATTATGATCAAGTGTAGGTGTATGTAACAGTATAAAAATGTCTCCTTTTTCAGCACTTGGAGTTACTGCTACTGCACCTCTATGGCCTGAGCTAAGCTGCCTGCAAAAATGAACATTTATTTTTATGTGGTTTGAACTGAAATGAGTAATTTTTGATGTGTGCTCACTCTTAACTATTAACATTGTGTGCAATGGCAGTTTAATGTTTTATTTTTGAATAAACATGCAAATGGACTGTTATTTCTGTAAATATTAACAAGTTCATGCCCAAGCAGTGGGAGTTTTCAGGTTGGAGCAAAGGGAAACCACAAGTTTTATGTTTATTTTTGTGGGTTTTACTATTTTAAGTAACATCAAGGTCTGGATTGGAGATTTTCTGACATTCCTGGTTGCTTTTTAGAAAAAAAATAATCTAAACAGCTACTCGGTGAGGTAGGTCAATTTAAGCTAAATCATTGAGTGACAACAAAATACTCTTTGTGACACCATTATAGGCAGTGTCCTACTATTTATCCATCACCAAGTGTCTAGCGGTTGAGTTCAAAAGAAATACATATTGAAGTGGAAAAATGGTTTAGGTAAACCCTGATCTTGAAAAAAACATACTCAACTCTACTCATGTGAGTAGTCCCATTGAGTAGGATTAAGCACATTCATGTTTGCAGTATCAGGGATTAAAGCTGTAAATCCCTGTCTCCTTACTAAGAACAAATGTTGATAGAAATTTCAGATATTACTCTCCCTCCTCCTGTGTTTTAATTAGATTCATTCGTGACCAAATCTGAAGACCTTACTATGATTCTATGAAATAAAACTCCCACTGGAGCAGTGAAAGATGAGTAAGGCATGTAGTATTTGGTCCTGCACAAATATATTGATATGATGTAATTTTGTATTGTAATTGGCTAATTAATTTTGTGAGGAAGTGGGCAGTGAGTCTGTCTGTTAATTTGCTTCTTAGTGTGGTGCAATACTCAAACTATCATTTGGCCTTGATTATTGATTCAAAATAATTTCACCCCTATTTCTTCTTTGGAAGTGATCACAAATTGCTCATTTAGGTGGGTAAATAATCTGACCAAGATTTTCTAAATGATTTGTAATTCTGGGAGTCTCAATGGGTGGACACATTAAAGGGGTCAAGCTTTTTCGGGATTTCTCAAGTTGTCACCCCAAAATCACTGTTCAGTTCTGAAATCTTAGTTTCTGTGTCTAATTTCTTAAAATGAAAAACCTCAAATAAATATACAAATCATTAGAATGAATTATGTAAAATTACTCCTGAGGAAGGAAAAAATAAATACATTCAAATGCAATCACTAAACCAGTAATAGCCTTAATTCTATGCATTTATTACGTATCTGTTATATCTATATATTTACATCTAGTACTGATATCGCTGAAGGCAAATGATGCATTGCAAAGCAAACAGAAGCTGACCTTTGCATGTTTTCCCATCAGGCTGCAGGGTAAATCCAACTGGGCAACTGCAACGTACTCCTGTCGCTGTATCCTTGCAAGTACGGTCACAGCCTCCATTATTGACAGCACATGTTTCTGCAGAATGAAAGAGAGAGCAAGAGAGAGTGTAACAAAACATTCTGGGGGCCATCAACTGTTCTGGGCAATATTAAGAAGTTATAAAGGCAATCTAAGTTGAAGCAAGTTAACTCAGGTAAAGCTCTTAAGATAGACCATGGCCCATGTACTTGCTTAATTGGATAGCATTTCCACAAGCAATTATTTCTATCCAAAAATTAAGCATATATTGATTATCTTTGGTCAGTCCTTTTGCCACATCTTAGACAATAGGATGAATTATTTAAACATGAAAAGGTCAGCTTTAGAAACAAAAGAAAGCAATTGCCTTTTAAAAGAACCAGGGACTGAGTCTGTTTCATATCAGATGGTCTCTAGCCATGGCTTTTCAAGGTTCATTAAAAAGCGGTCTCATGGTCTAATGAACTTTAAAAAGCAATAGAAAGCAAAGCATAGTGCTGGACTTGGAATTGAGAATTTAAAATACTTAGTTAAGAAAGAGTTAATGGAAAATGAACTACATACATCACTTTGACAAGAATCTACATGCCCAATCTGTTCTTACTGAACTACAAGCAAGAGGCATCTGGGTTTTGTCCACTTAAAGCTTTTTGCAAATTGAAAGGAGTTTGGAGTGGGTGGGAGGGCATAATTGAGGTCACTGAACCCATTCCAAGCTGTGTCATTGAAATTTCCCAGTGCTTGTAGTATGTAGAATGGTGGCTGGACAAACACAGGGAAAAGAAAGCTACAATACTTTTTAGCTTTTACAACTACTGGCAATGGCTATTAGGTATCACTCCAATATATATATATACACACATACATACACATATACATATATACTTTGTATGTGTGTGTGTGTGAGTAGGCATTTTTTATTTTTTGGTAATGGAGTTGTGCGTGGAATGGTACCTTTATGTGTGTATATTCACACATATTACACATTATTAAATTTATTAAAATAGCTATTACAATATATATTATCATTATTGATATCGATTAAAACAGTTATTAAAATAGATAAAAGACAAGAGATATGACTGTCTTTCATTTGAATCACAGACTACAGTGCATATTAGGAGACCAATTTCATTTGTTGGTCTGAATGGTACATTTGTAATAGTATGGATGGAAGACAGAAGTAAGAAACAACCGTATGTAGCTAGCTACTCTGTCTGCAATTACTTTGAGACCTCAAGGGAAATATTTCAGTCTTTTATCCAATTTCTTTTTCAGTTTTTCCAGTTCAGATAAAACTTAAAATAATAAGGATGTCATTGTTCATATGCTTTCTCTTCATGTTGGCTTTCCCCAGAGTGGCTTTGTCAAAGTTTACTTGGATTTACTAGTGGATTTCTATTGCCACCTATTTGGAGTTTGTGTTACAACTGTACATTGTAGACAGGCTCTGAGAACAGAAAACTGGACATGCTCATGCTAAATCGCCTTAGTATATTATGTTGCTCAAAATAATTGACACAAAATACAAAGCACTTTATCTTTAAATTGACAAGCGTTCAAAGCTGATCTTTGGATAGAACCAGCAGCTGCTTCCCTTGGGAAGAAACTTCACTGGCTTTCTGGAAGGCCATCACTGCTTCAGATCAGAAAAAATTCATTTAACTCCTTTTCAGTGACACAATCCTATATATCAGCTTTGGTATGTGCTACTGACATTTATGTATATTATGAATATATGTAATTATGTGACAATTTATAAAATTACTATTTATACATATATATTAATGTGTGTGTGTGTACATCTGTAATTGCTAGCAAGAGCATATTTGATGAACAGACCAATATATCTTTAAGAGAAAACATCCAACATACGAGGCAGATTCTGAAAGCCTTTATCTACAAGTACAATTTTCACTCACAAGTAGTCAGTAGTTCAAAAGAACTCGCACGAGTAAGGATTTGCATACTCAGGACTTGCCTTGTTTAAGCAGTGCAAGTTGCAATGATCATTTTCCTGTTTGACCGGGGGATTTGTTTTATAGGTTTACATGCTGGTAGTTTTATATCTATTTCAGAGGGCTGAAATATCAAGTAACTTTAATTTCAGGATGTGAGGAAAAAATCAGATAATTAAAAAAATTCACCTAAGTCCATTTCTTGGGAGTCCCAGAAGTTTAAAAAGTAGAATGATTTGTCAGGGCAAATAGTTAAGGTTAAAAAGCATGAAAAGGTGTTAATGACATACGTTTGGCATGACATTGCACTGAGTTGTAAATCTTATGTTAACAGATTAACTAGGGCATATGAAGAGCCCTTGACTGCAGTTCATCAGCAACAGATGAACATTACCTAAGCAGCAATATTTCTGCTTTCTGGATGACATCCAGTGAAAATGAATAGACACAACAAACTTTTTTCTCCTCTGGCATGGATGACTGGATCTATAGGGTAAAGGGGCAGTCATTGAACAAGAGTTATTTCAATGTATAAATAAAAGGGATCATGCACGCTTTTCTTATACTCACAGAGATTTAGTAAAAGGAAGCAAAAAATAACAATGCCCTTCAACATCTCTTAAAGCAGTGCTGACTGTGCCTTTAATAAATGGCAAGCTCAAATAGGATGAAGATTCAGGGTAAGAACAGCAAGCCTGACAATACCTACAGTAACCAGGGTAATGGGAGTTGTAATGATGAGACTCCTTAAAAAATGAAGGTAGGAGAAAGTGAAAAGCAGGGTGGCGGAGTGGTGCATTGAATGCTATACAGAATAGAAATGTGTAGGAGTGCATCTAACATTTAAACCACACAGCAACAGCCACATACCTGTTCTTATTAGAAAGGAGTTCAGTTCATACCAGATTAAAACACCTTCACAGTTGAAGATGTGTTTGAAATCCAACCTCAGATCTGGATCCAAATAAGAAGCAGAACCAAACCCCTTGATTCCAAGGCACTACATTTCTTAAGGGGTGTGGGGAGGGTAGGTTTGTGAAGGGGGAGATGCAGAGGTGTGAGACAGTAGGGTGGGGTTTCAAAATCTGGATCAGAATTTTACACCTTTAATCCTTTTGGAGTTTTGTATTTTGGATGGCACTGATTATATCAGCCTTTTGTGTCTGTGCACAGCACATTACTCTCAATGTTTGTTACATTTTCAAACTTAGGCTACATCTCCATTGCAGCAAATAATCAGCTTAAGCTATGCAAATCCAACTATGTGAATAACATAGCTGGATTCAACATATCTTAAGTTGAGTTACCATGGGGAGTAAATTGTGGGGGGATTGATGAGAGAAATTCTCCTGTCGACTTCCCTTACTCTTCTATGGGAGGTAGAGTAACAAGATTGATCAGAGAGTGAACAGGTCTTCACTAAATCGCTAAATTGACCAGTGGGTCAATCTCAGAGTGTCAATCAAGGTTGTGGTGTAGATTTAACCTTCCTTTAATCATGTTATGCTGATGTGTCTTCTGTTCTACTCTGCAGCTGAGAGCTCAACACCCATTTTAGTGAGAATGTATACATCAAAATCAAACAGCAGTTGGGTAGTCAACACCTGGAGAAGAGGGTGATGGTAGCACTTATTTGGTGAATGTGTAAGATTTCTCAGTGAATTTAAAGCTACACTTGCACTCCTATATAAGTCTTCTATTGAGTTCTACAAGTTAAACTCAGAGGGTATGTCTACACTACCCTCCCAGTTCGAACTAGGAGGGTAATGTAGGCATACCGCACTTGCAAATGAAGCCCGGGATTTGAATTTCCCGGGCTTCATTTGCATAAGCGGGGCTCCGCCATTTTTAAATCCCCGCTCATTCGAACCTTGTGCCGTGTGGCTACATGCAGCAAGAACTAGGTAGTTCGAACTAGGCTTCCTAGTTCGAACTACCTAGTTCGTGCCGTGTGTAGCCGCGCGGCACAGGGTTCGAACGAGCGGGG